GCACCATGAAAAGGAAGGATCTGACATTTTTGCGGTAATTGTTTTTGTAGAGTACAAATTTTTCGTTAAGACGGACTACTTTTTATGACTGATCACAGAAATTCCTAAAAAGTATTTTGCATTTTATTGACCGTAAAATTACAAACATAACAATACTTGTAAGATTTGAGGTTCTCACAGCGGTGAGTATGAAGATTTCCGTATTCTGGGTTGTTGCGCTGTGTAGTCTGGTCGATGTTAACCAACGTTTCAGAGGTCATACTGCCTCCGTCATCAGGGCGATTCTGAGTATGAACATTTCTGTCTTCTGGGTTGTTGCGCTGTGTAGTCTGGTCGATGTTTACCGACGTTTCGGAGGTCATACTGCCTCCGTCATCAGGGCGATGAGTATGAAGATTTCTGTCTTCTGGCGCCCTGATGACGGAGGCAGTATGACCTCCGAAACGTCGGTAAACATCGACCAGACTACACAGCGCAACAACCCAGAAGACAGAAATCTTCATACTCATCGCCCTGATGACGGAGGCAGTATGACCTCCGAAACGTCGGTAAACATCGACCAGACTACACAGCGCAACAACCCAGAAGACAGAAATCTTCATACTCATCGCCCTGATGACGGAGGCAGTATGACCTCCGAAACGTCGGTAAACATCGACCAGACTACACAGCGCAACAACCCAGAAGACGGAAATCTTCATAACAATACTTAGTAGAATTTTGTTTTCACGGCAGTGAGTCCGAAGATGACTGCCTTCTGCGTTGTAGACTGGTAAAAGTTTACCAACATTTCAGGGTCCTTGCCGTCTCCATCATTAGAGCGATCACTTGATGATGGAGGCAGCAACGACCTCTGAAGCGTTGGTAAACGTCTATCAGAATTTACGGCGCAACAACCTAGAAGACAGCCATCTTCTGGCAATACTTTCTGATTTTTAAATCGAATCTCAAGCCTTAATGATCATGCACCAACTTCTTTTCAGGTGGAAAACAATCGTGTGATTTGGCCTACGACTTATTTGAATGTATCAGCAACAAACTTTCGGAGGTAAGTTGTTATATCCTTAATAAAATAGGAGGAGAACATACCCGAATGAGTTTCTCATCTCATTTTACGCCAATAACCTCCACTCAACTCCAACTAACAAATATATCAAATCAGCAAATTAAATACAGCAGTCTGCTTAATTAATATTAGAATAATTTTGCGAATAGATTGTACTTTAAAATACAGAGTGCCACATTTTCATTGGTACCTATAAATAATATTACATTAATGATTAAAATAAAATATTTTACTGTGTTTATAAAAATGTGACTCGAAGACGACAATTTTTATTTGTTTGTAATAAACTAAACGACGCTGACAATAGTTCAGATTATATCGCACTGAATTATGGAGTGATTATAATGACTAATGACTTGGAATTTGCTTGGACGGACTGATGAAAATTACAGAAACCTCAGTGTGTGATCTGACGTTCTGGCGGCGGTGAAGATGATGATGGTGATGATTTGGGTTGTGATGCCTTGTGAACTGGTAAGTAGGTACCAACTTTTCGGAGAAATACACTCTCCATCTTTAGGGCTGACGGTGGATAAGAATTTTTCCGAAACGCTGGTACCTACCTAATAGTGTACATGCAGACGCAAACTACAAGGATAATATCATCACGTAAACCTCAAGGTAGTAGCCCGAAACAGATCTCAGAGCCGAGATCGAAGATTAATTATAGTATAGAAATTCTATGATAAAAATCAGTCAGCTATAAATAACAGTAAAAGAACAAAAATTAAAGTCTGTAATAAATAATATTCTGTTTTAAATTTCAGTACTGTAGCGGCTTTGACTAACTGGGTTAATTTCCTGGCTGTAATCAACATTCACGGACGTGAAGGAAACTCAATGACCACCAGAATTCATCCGTCACGTTACGTTAGCGTAGACAGTTGACATAACAGCGAAGCATCGGGAAGAGACATGTCTCCTGCTTTATTAAATTTACATTCTAACAAGATATACAGAAAGGTCTTACTCTCCTTCGGACGGCGGTATCTCAGAAGCCAACTCCTTTACTGCTGGAAATTCTAGGCTTGTAAAAACACTTGAATAAAAATTTCCTTGGATATTATCCATCGTCTAGTAAATATAAAACGTAAAACGACGTTTCGGAGATGGATAGAGTCCCATCTCCGAAACGTCGTTTTACGTTTTATATTTACTAGACGATGGATAATATCCAAGGAAATTTTTATTCAATTGACTCTTCACCATCGTCAAGAAGTTTTAGATTTGTAAAAACACTGTTGGGACGCCTGACATATCATCGCTGTCATCCGTTTAAGTCAACTGATTTATTCAGTTTTTTTCCTCAATTTTGTATAACTTGCACAATAAAATCCGATATTTGTATGTTCCTTTCTTTCTCTATTGTCACATCGAAGGTTTGCACACAACGGATCGCAAAAGAAGAGTATTTCGCGAGTACGTGATGCAGTGTAGTAGATTTTAAGGGTCTCACGGCGGTGAGTACGAAGATGGCTGTCTTCTGAGTTGTTGCGCCGTGTAGTCTGGTAGGACCTCTAAAACGTCGGTAAACTTCTGACAGACTACACGGCGCTACAATGCGGAAGACAGCCACCTTCATGATGCAGTGTCTTTGGAATTTCTTTCAATATCGCGTCACGTGATCAAGCTCGGGATTTCCTTATGTTGGATTTTTATTCCCTTTAATAATAGGTTTATGAATTTTTCGCGAAATATTTAGTCATGATGCACTAACAGAAAATTATCATAAATGCGAAAATTTTGCTGTAGTTACAATAATTCATGGAAAAATTTGTTTAAACTATCCTTCTCACCTTTAAACAGACAAGCCTCTCTGAGGAAAATCGATTTTTTAGTAATTCCTTATTTTTCCTTACTGATATCAACTGACGTTCGTCCTCAAATGGATGAACAAAACTATCGGTAATTACCGTCAGGTTGTGTCCTTCCGCGTGTGTAAGGAAATAATTACAGGCAATGAATCAAGAGAGAG